ACTTTTTGATAAATAATTCGTTCTTATTGCGAAATAGGAGCACTATTTATCAATCTGTAATAAAAGACGTGAGGAAATTCTGTCTTTTTTAAAACCCAAAATTTTTGAGGCGAAATACCCAAAAAGAAGTTTGTAAAAAACAAACATATGAAATATGTCAAAAAAACAGGTCAAATTTAATAAGTTACGCAATACAAAAGCGTGTTTTCATTATCGAACTCTGTTGGGATTTTAGTTAGATTATAAGTTATCATGTAAGTTTTCCTGACTGTAGGTCCAATTTTAACATGAATAATTTGTCAATAGGTCAATTGTAATTTATGGCATTGATAGTCATAAATGTATGATATTGATTTTATGACAGTTTTCAAAAGTTTTCGCTTCAGAGAGCCCCGCAAACCTGAATTTTCAAAAAAATTTCACATTTTACTGCCCTCAAGTGGGTTCCATATTCATTTCAGTCCCGGGCCTCGTAAAACTAATCCACCTAGTGGCGCAGCGAGCTTAACTCTATACCTTTTTAGCGCCCAATGAAAATGTCAATTTTAATTTAAACTGTTTCCGTATTGACAAATTATTCATTCTTTGAAATAGGTTTCGGTGTTTTTTTACCATTCTCAGTTAGTTTACTCGTGTAGGTAGTTGTTACTACTGTGGGTTTGGAACTTTAGTTATACCTATATAGAAGAATAAGTTATAAGTATGTACCTATATATGTATTCCTTAAATATTATATGTACCTATGTAGAAGTATTTACCAAGGTTTTTGTGTAGCCTGAATTAAAATGTAAGACTCGTCTCTGTTTTTTTATGCTTCCTATGACACGACTATGCAATAATAGGGTGTTTTCACTTTTTTGTTGATAGTAGTTATGGCAAACATTACACTGATGTAGTTTTTTTGCAAAAAAGGTCTCCATAATAATTTTAAAGCGAATTTAAATTCAAATCAGATATTTTCCGCAAGTGTTTTGTGCCAGGATGCGAAAATAAGTACCTCAATAAGTGCTCCAAACAAACTCTTTCTAACCGTTCCTCATGATTATGCACGTAAAGTTTTATGGTTTAAAGCAGCTAGACGTGATGTTCCTAAATCGCAATCAATATTTTTTTGTTGCCAGGATCATTTTAATGAAAGTACGAACAAAAAG